CTTCTGTCTGTCTTTCTGTCTGCATACATGCATATATCTTTTTCATATTTAAAAACATGTGTGTGAATTTTTAGAATCCTCATAAATTAAAATGTTACTTTTAAGCAGTCTTAACTTTTTTCCTTCAAAAGTTGTTTTTGGAGTGATCCAATCTTTTGCCTTACTGCTTTGTTAATGTTCCATCTTAGTCCTGATATAACTTCATACGTGTGAATCCAAGATACATCAATCCATACAATGATACTACTTTGCTGAGATGTATCATTAACAGGATACAATACCCACATCAGGCGGCACATTTTGTATGTGTAGACGGAATTCTCAATGGATTCGAACCAGGTCGTTGCAACAGTAAGGACAGGCGCTTTAACCATTGCACCACTGCTTGGTTGATGCTGATGATGATAAGTACGCTGATGATGATGGCTAAAATTAAAATTAATTTTACGAATTTATCAAAAAATGGTAAATAAAAGTGAATATATGTTCCTCTGCATGCATCTCAAATCTGCTTAGGATAGCATAAACTTGAGTGAGAAGTATAATATAAGTGAGATAATTTTCTTAAAAAAGTTCCCACCATATCTTCATGATGACTCTATCTCTTAACTACATTTTTACCTTTATTCATATACACTCGTCTAACACACTTAACCTCACACACACACTCACTCACACACACAGACACACACACACACACATACACGTAACATCACACACAAAGACATATATACACACTTCCATACACACATATACACACTTAAATACGAAACATATACACTAAAAAATACAAAATACACACATACATGCTCAATTAAAGTTACATACTTTTCTGACTTTACTAATTTTAAATTCAAATTCAATCTGTATACATTTTAAGAATTTTTCTCAATATGTAATTTTTTTTCTCTAATTCCCATTCTGTCCTTTTTATTTTCTCTTTATTGAAACTCTTCCCAGTACATGCAAACGCCAGTTACTTCAACATGTTTGTTGTTTTAATTCATAAAACCAAAGTCATAAAATTAATTGAAGCCACCAGCAAGACAACAGCCAACCCAATGCCATGTCATGTCGTGATGGGTGTTACGCGACATTCTACTCTTTCGTTGTTGTTGCTGTTGTAGCAGTAGTAATGAGTAGTTGTACTTGGTTGGGAGAGAGAGGAAGAGAAAGAAAGAGAGTGAGGAAGAGAGAGAGAAAGAGAAGAGAAAAGTTGTTTGTTATAAATTAAAATTCACATTCATTTGGTTGCGACAAGAGAGAGGTGCTTAGCTTGTGTGTATTCAGTTTGAACGTTGAAACGTAATAAAAATATTAACTCTCTGTTGTTTCTAACGCTACTTAGGTTGCACCGCCATTTTCATTCGCTCTTTCATTCCACGTGTTTTATGTTAATTCCATTTGACCTTTCGAACTCTTCGTCCTCTTTTGGAAGTTCTCACAGATTTGGTTGACTTAAAATCATATCCGGTTTTCATTCAAAATTATTTCACGTTCAATTTTTAGTTTTGATGTTGGTTGATAAATAATAATAATAATAACAATTCGCCACTGAACAAGTTAATATCGGTGAATAAGATAATTTATTGAATAAGAAATTGTATGTACTTCCATTGTAGGTACATTTGCACAACAGAAAGAATTTATAGATTTAAAGATAACTCAAAGCGTGATCCTTAAACTTTATTCTACAAACAAAAAGTTAAACTTCCAAAGCCTGAAACGTCCACACCACACGATGTTCTGTATTATGGAGTATGAGTATGACAGTTTTTAGTTGCAAACGGAGAGTATTCGAACCGGACCACCTGGCAACAACGACGCAAAACATAACACTTTTACAGACTGAGCTATCTCGCCAAGAAAATATTATCAATGTCATGATTTGGTCTCATTTATTTTGTAAAAGCGAAATATGCAGATAAAGGGAGAAAAAAAGTTTAATAACTTTTTATAAAAACAATGTTTACGAAAAATGCTACGAACCAGAGGTTCGACTAAACGGAAGGAGCTAAATTTTGATTAAAAGATGTGGCAGTCCATCTTCAACATTAACACTTGGAAAAATTTTATAACAAAAAACGGCCTTCGAAAATATTTCCAATACATACTAGAACAAATTTCGTCTCTGTTTTGAAATGTAACAAAAATCAAAGAAAATTTTTACGTAATTATACAATACTCATGTATTTTGCTCCATATTTTTCAGAAAATCAGACTCTGATAAGGATGCCAATCTGTTACAACACGCAAAAATGACAAAAAAGAGACCCAATGGAATAGTTGAGTAAAGCAATGAAAATAAGGTACTCGCGTGTGGCGGAAATTTTTGAGATAACTTTTCAATGATAGAAATACACAATTTTAATAATAAAATCATCAGTAATTAATTTCATTAGTATAATTCTCTTAATCGTCATCGTTTAAGCAAGAACGTCGATGTGATTTATTCTTCCATCTTTTGTTTGTGATTTGGCCGTCCATTGTTTGTTTGTGTGTGTGTGTGTGTGTTACATTGTAAACAAAAGTGTGTGCGTGTGTGTGCGTGTGTGTGCGTGTGTGTGTTTAGTATTTAGAAAATTATGCTAGTATATATATATATATATATATATATATATATATATATATATATATATATATATATATATATATATATATATATATATATATATATGTGTGTGTGTGTGTGTGTGTGTGTGTGTGTGTGCATGTATGTCTGTCGTCAAAATTGTTAAGTTCATTTTAAAAACAAAAACACACATACTCGACTAATACATACACACGTGATCACGAATAATCGTCAATTATGTACCGCTTAATTACTTCATTACACCAAAAAGTAAGCACCGCGCACATCACTAGTTTCAGGTGTGTTTGTAAACAAAAAGCCAATACAGGTAGACGTGATTAACACACGACTTTTGAATTTAGTAAATATCGGACATGAATTACAATTAATAATGGCGATTAAATAATTTTTAAAAATAATTTGAAAATTAATTTTGTTTATTTTAAGTTTTAAATTCGCGTTTAAAACAGATCTCTTTGATATTATTAGTTTTTATTTTATTTTTGTTTTGAATCTCATTTTTAATTTTGGATATGTTTTAAAAATGAAATAAAATAAATAAACCTTTATTTATATAAAATTATAATATAAAGACATCAGTTATTATGTTTTAAAAATCAAACGTTTTAAACTTGAATTTCATTTTAAATAATTATTAGTTCAAACAAATAAAAAGTAAGTACCCATGTTGTAAAACCGTAAAACGTAATTTTCTCTCAACTGAAAGTGGGTTTAGTTTAGTCTTTAGTATCTATTTTTTTTAAATTCACCGTACTTTATTCAATACACATACATACCTTACGTGCAGATAGTACAGTGTATTACATACATTAAGAACATATGCACACACTGACACACACACACACACAGACACACACACACACAACACAGACACGCAAACATACACACATATATCACATTCTAATATGTTACAGAATGTTAGTGTGTTTGTGTGTATACTATATAAAATAACAGTATTTTGTTCATGGTAACTTATCTATGTATTCATGTTATATAGGGATGTATGTATGTTTGTCGCTATTCTTTATATGTTTCCACACACTCACACACACATACAAGCGCACACACAAACAAACTCACACATAAACACGTCACATTCCACATTCCAATACATTTCAATGTTGATGCATTCATTCTGTGGATAGAGAAAAGCGTGACTAACACATGGCTGGTAACAAGTTACATTATATATATATATATATATATATATGTGTGTGTGTGTGTGTGTGTGTGTGTGTGTGTGTGTGTGTGTTTGTGTCTGTGTTTAAATGAACGAAATATGTAATGTATATAGCGCATATAAAGCCCGTATAAACTGCTGCTTATACACCTACATACACGATCACATGCTATTTTAGTATTGATGTCTCATAATAAATATAAACGCTAAGATGTTCCAAAGAAGAAAATTTTGATACGGAGATGTAAGAATGTGTGGACGATTTTCGATGTAACAAATGGTAAATGAATGAATTTATTGAGTAAACTTCAAAAGTTTGAAACAAATTTAACTTTTCTTGATAATAAATCCAACTAGAGATGATAGACGATGACCGATGTGATTTCTTCCAAACTAGCCAGAACTATCTCAAATATCGGATTCTTAATTAATCCATGATTTTCAGCTTGCCACTCTTTACTTAAATTATAAAACACATTGAGATCCGCACAGATCTATATAATCTCTTGCACACCACACACCGCACACACCACGCGCACACACACACACGCATATATGGTATGTAATTACATTTACATATAGAAGGTATGCTTATATACATTTGATATTGAATACTTTTATATGTAAATCAAATTAACGCAATTTATCAAGAGCCGTGTGCGTGTGTGTGTGTCTCTCTGTGTGTGTGCGTGTGTGTGTGTGTCTCTCTCTCTCTGTGTGTGTGTGTGTGTGTGTGGTTGTGATAGTATGTGATATCGTCCCTTGGTTAATGCAGCCTTGCACAAATGATACTGTTGGATATCTGATACGTGTATGTGCGTGTAACGTTATAGACCTAATTAAATTTTTTGTACGTTCTACTGAAGATTTTACTCTCTCGCTATAGTGGAGGGTCTTCTTCTAAAATGATTTAATGTACTTCCATTTTTTTCATCGTTTTGTTGTTTAATTACTTAAATTTTTTTTTATTCATTTTTTTTTGTTTGCTCTCACGCTGATTAGTGGCATGTTCCAGCAACATCCTTAGATTTTTACGTTAAAATATTTTTTTTTTACAAAAACTAACTAAATCGATAAATAATTTTCAAATTAACAATTTTCGGATATAATAATAAATAGATGAATTAATTAATTAATATAACGCATTGATCAAATGTTTACCTAAAAATTGGCCACCAGTAACAGAATTGAAATAGAAACAAATATACAGCCAAACCAAGTGCGAAGATGATTAACAATAGATGGAAACAAAAAAACACGTCAGAGTTACTACGGAACGGCATCTCCATCGCACTGAAAGCAGCAATCGCAATCGCATTAATAACATCACTCGCTGTGACGTCAACATCTGCAGCAGGCTTCAACAGGCAGCACAGAGTCAAGCGACAACTACCAACATCGCCGACGACAACTACGACG